GCATGCTTATGATGTTTATTAAAACAACTGGACTGGCATAGTTAATTCTATGCCTTCTAGGAGATGAGGGTCCTTTCCCAGATGGAATCTTCCAAGAGAGGTGAAGGGTGTCACCCAAGGTCACGTAGTTACTAGATGAGATCTCACACCAAGACCTTGGTAGATCTCCTGAATCTCACTCCAGTGTCTGCTCCATCAGATGTGGTTTTAGCCTTTGAGTGTTTGTGCCCAGCAGTGGCTCAAAGAGGCCATGTTTCTCTGCATTAACGTGCTGGACAGGACACACTTGAAAAGAAAGGAAATGCAGCATTATTGATTTGCTTCACCTCCCTCAATTCACCTACCCACTACCACTGGGTCATTAATTCAAATGAAAATACACAAGCAGGTTTTTTCTTAACCAAACTCAAATAGTTTGGGATGGCAGATATCAGGGGTGGGTGCTGCTGCTTCTGCTCTTCCCACTCTAACTTCTTTCTGTGGCCTCAAACCTGCCCCATTTATGATGATGTGGGTGTGTGCTTTTGGAGCCACAAGGAAGAGGAGGGGTTACAATTGTGGTGTCAAGTGTAAGGGGATCCCTGAAAGAAGAGGGCCAGAGACTATGGGAAGACTCAGTGGCCCTAAACCAGAAGAATCAGATATGGTAGCTGGTATTGACCCAGTTGTTTCACCAAGTACTCCGAGTACTCACTCCCACATGCACCTGTCTATCTGTGTGTCTGTTTGTCTATGTCCAGTGTCTCATGAGTGGGACAGGATGTCTGTGTGGATAGAAATATCATGACGACACAAGGTAATGACTCTGAAATAGGATATGGGGATCAAATAAAGGGGTGGGTCACCCTCCTAGGGATAAGACAAATAGTACCACTCCAGAAGACTACAACTCTGGCCTAGTAAAAAATTGACTTTCTGGCATGGATATACCCTGTGTCTGGCACCAGCAGGCTCTCAAGAAGAGATTGTTGCAATGCCTTAAGGAAGACAGCTCATTCTTGGACAATCCTCCATTGAGAGGTCATGTTAGCTTCTGCCTCCTCTAGAATCTGGGCTGGCCTGTGACTGCTTTGACCAATGGAGGATGGTGGAAGTGAAGTTATGCCAGTGCCGCATATAATCTTGAAGAGACTCGTGGTTTCAGTGTTGCTTTGTGAGAGCTCTGAGTCATCATGTCAGAAGTCGGCCTATCCTGGTGGACACATGGAGAGGCTCTGAGATGCTATGGGGTTGGGGGAGGATCAGGCTCAGCTGAGCCAAGCCCTCCAACCAGCAGCTCAAAAGCACCAGGTATGGCAATGGAATTTGTCCTGGACCCTCCAGAGTAGCCAGTCATCACGAGCGTACCACTGAGTGACCTTAGACTGGTTTATACTTTTAAAGGTTGCTTACACTTTGTATTTGGACCCTACTTAGAATTGTTGTTGTTATTACGTACTGTTGAGTCATTTCCAACTCATAGCGAGCATATGTGCAACAGAATGAAACACCGCCCTGTTCTGCATCATGCTTGCTATGTTTGAGCCCATTGTTGCAGCCACTGTGACAATCCATCTCATTGAGCATCTTTCTCTTTTTCGGTGACCCTCTACCTTACCAAGCATGATGTCCTTCTCCAGGGGCTGGTTCCTCCTGATAACATGTCCAAAGTAAGTGAGATAAAGTCTCGCCACCCACGCTTCTAAGGAGCATTCTGGCTGTACTTCTTCCAAGACAGATTTGTTCATTCTTCTGGCAGTCCATGATATATTCAATACTCTTCACCAACACCATAATTCAAAGGAATCAATTCTTCTTCGGTCTTCTTTATTCATTGTTCAGCTTTCACATGCATATGATGAGATGGAGAATACCATGGCTTGGGTCAGGCGCACCTTAGTCTTCAAGGTGACATCTTTGCATTTGAACACTTTAAAGAGGTCTTTGGCAGCAGATTTGCCCAAAGCAATACGTCCTTTGATTTCTTGACTGCTGCTTCCATGGGTGTTAATTGTGGATCCAAGTAAAATGAAATCCTTGACAACTTCGATATTATCACCTTTTATCATGATGTTGCTTACTGGTCCAGTTGTGAGGATTTTTGTTTTCTTTACGTGGATGTGTAATCCGTACTGAAGGCTGTGGTCTTTGATCCTCATCAGTAAGTGCTTCAAGTCCTCCTTGCTTTCAGCAAGCATGGTTGTGTCATCTACATATTGCAGGTTGCTAATGAGTCATCCTCCAATCCTAATGCTGCGTTCTTCTTCTTATAGTCCAGATTCTCAGATTATTAGCTCAGCATACAGATGAATAAGTATGGTGAAAGGATACAACCCTGACGCACACATTTTCTGATTGCAAACCATGCGGTATCCCCTTGTTCTGTTCAAATGGCTGCCTCTTGGTCTGTGCACAGGTTCCACATGAGCACAATTAAGTGTTCTGGAATTCCCACTCTTCACAATGTTATCCATAATTTGTTATGATTCATACAGTCAAAAGCCTTTGCACAGTTAATAAAACACAGGTCAACATCTTTCTGGTATTCTCTATTTTCAGCCAAGATCCATCTGACATCAGCAGTGATATTCCTCATTCCACGTCCTCTATTGAATCCAGCTTGAGTTTCTGGCACTTTCCTGCCAATGTCCTGCTGCAACCGTTTTTGAATTATCTTCAGAAATTTTACTTCTGTGTAATATTAATGAAATTGTTCAACAATTTCCACATTTCGTTGGATCCCCTTTCTTTGGAATGGGCACAAATATGGATCTCTTCCGGTCAGTTGGCAAGGTAGCTGTCTTTCAAATTTCTTGGCATAGGCGAGTCAGCACTTCCAATTTTGCATCTGTTTGCTGAAAAATCTCAATTGGTATTCCATCAGTTCCCAGAGCCTTGTTTTTCACCGAATGCCTTCAGAGCAACTTGGATTTCTTCCTTCAGTACCATTGGTTCTTGATCATATGCTAGTTCCTGAAATCACTGAGTGTCTAGCAACTCTTTTTGGTAGAGTGACTCTATATATTCCTTCCATTTACTTTTGATGCTTCCTGCATCATTTAATATTTTCCCCATAGAATTCTTCGATATTGCAACTCGAGGTTTGAGTTATTTCTTCAGTTCTTTCAGCTTGAGAGATGCCAAGCATGTTCTTCCCTTGTGGAGTTCTAACTCTAGGTCTTTTCACTTTTGTAGTGCTGGTTCCTAGAAGATGAGGAAGAATAAGATGAGGCCCTCACCCTCTGTGACTTAACCATTGAACTGGAGCGTCAGCAAAGGCATACTCCCAACGACTGTCACTAGAAGGCAGCATCTGATCAAGGCCACATGCTTGTATCTCGGGGTTCACAGTGTAGTGAGAGAAGAAGCAGGGAACTCCCTGTAGGACCAACAGTGCACCTAGCATGCTATGCCTGTTCGCTCACTCAGCCCTAATCACAACCCTTCCACAGAGGTCTCATCAATAGTATACCCCTTTTACAGTTGAAGATCATGAGGCTCAAGGAGGGAGCAGTAACTGTGGGCTGGGAGGGTCAGGACATCTTCACAGAGGAGGTAGGATTCGAGCCAAGACTTGAAAGGTGAATAGGATTCAGATAGGGAGAGAGCAAGGGGGTGAGGATTTCACTATGGTGAGAAGGAGCAGCTTGCCACAAAGCCCTGAGTCGGCAATGCCCAAAGGCAGCGAGGGAACAGGACTCTTTCCCTTTGCTCCCTAGCAACTCCCCAATCACAACTGAGAGCAGCGTTATCTCTGCAACTTCACAAACGTGGGGCTTAGCAGGGAAAAGTCATCATCCTCCCTTATCTCACTGTCAACACTAAGCAAACAGATGGGGCCAAGGGAGCCAGGAAAGAGTGTCCATACAGGTGTCTGGCACCCAATCTCACCCCCACCCCCTCCAAGAGCCTGAGGGCATGGCTTTCACTGAATGCTTAATATGCACCCAGCACTCTCTGCATTTCCCCACAGAATCCTCATGGCAATCCTGTAGAACCCCTTCTACAGAGGAGGAAACTGAGGCTCAGAGAGGGCAGGTGACTCACCCTAGGCAACACAGGTAGTCAGAGGCAGAGCTGGGGTTTGAACCCAGGTCACGTGTGACTGCAAAACCTGTGCCCCTAATCGCTCTTGCTGTGCAGTCGAGTCCATCAGCTCACATCAGCTGGTGGTCCCACACAGACACTCTCACCACCTTGTGCCTCCTCTTGTCCCTGTTAATGCAGCCCAGCAACACCAATAGTCTCCAGAAAACATTTTCAAAGGGCACAAATCACGAGAACAGATGTTAGAAGCAAAGCACTCTCCTTCTCCCATCAACCAACCCTTGGGCTCTGCAAATCCCCAAGCCCCAAGAGGTGCCCTCATGCCATCCCCAGACCTTTTCCCTAGAAGGGGGGCCACTCATCCTGTTGTCCCAGCACAATTTGATTCGTAGCACCCAATTCACTCTCAAACATGTTTCTATTTATTGGCCAAGAAGCTATGCGGTCACCTGACCTATGAAGGGGCACAGATGCCTCACACCTCAGGTTTTTGCAGCCATGACACACCTATCTCCCCTGAGTGAGGGTGGGGTCCCGCCCTTTGGGAAGAGTAGCCAACCTTTCTTTGAGGGGGGAATAAGGAAGGGAGGAGCCAGGGATGTGATCTGGAGGGGATTTCCAGCACAATCCAGCTTGTTGGAGCTGGAGTGGTTGTGGAACAGGGCTGGAAGAACGCCTGGAATGCACAGCTTGCCCTAGCTGGGGCCAGGCAGGGGTGAGCACAGCCTGCCCTCTCAGCCCAGCTGTACCTCACCTACAAGACAGGTAGAGAGTTGAAGAATAGACTCCGCTACAGGTAAATTCGGTTTGACAATGTTTAATTCACATTAAAATGGTTTTCAAGATAGGCAGAATGCCACAAGCCCCCAAACGAAAGTATCTGAAACTTTAGTGGGCTACAGTTCTTTTAATGAAAACGTGCGCGGCTCTGAAAAGAGCCTTTGGTTTGATGCCCAGGATCCTCTCGAGGCAGCTCATTTGCGGCTTTTGTACCTAGTAACGACCTTGGTGGCCTCGGACACTGCGAGCTTGCCAATCTCCCCGGGCAGCATCAGGCGCACGGCGGTCTGGAGCGTTCTGGATGTGATGGTCGAGTGACTGGTGTAACGGGCCAGGTGGGTGGCCTCTTCTGCGATGCGCTCCAAGATGTCGTTAAGTAAACAATTGATGACGCCCACGGCCCTCCGTGAAATGCCAAGTTCAGCGCGAACCTTCTTCAGGGTCCTGTAAATAAAGAGGCAGAAACAATTGCGGCGGCAACGGCTTCGCTTTTGCGTCTTCTGCTTCTTAGTCTTAGAGCCAGCTTTCTTGGACTTCTTGCTGCTAAGGCAAACGCCAGAAGGCTCAGCCATGACAGCGGCAACTTGCCAGTACCTTGGAGGCAAAGAGAATAGCGGCTGGTTACCAGGGATAGACCCTTCGTTCACTGACGACAGCCTAAACTCGATATCCTATTGGATAAAAGTGCAAGGAATGGAAGCCTGTCGTTAAGGGACACCGTCTTAAATGTGATTGGATAGTCCCATCAACCAATCAGAAATCAAGGGTTATTAGACTGCCTAAAAGCTTCCTATATTTTAACTACCTGAAACAGCATATATATTCCATCCTCAGACCACGTGTTCTGATTTTGCCTGTTGTCCCAGCATAATTATTCTTAACACCCCATTCATTCTCAAAAGAGTCCACATTTATTGGTCAGGAAACTAACTATAGGGTCACCCTACCTACGAAGGGACACAGATGCCTCACACCTCAAGGTTTTTGCAGCCATCACACACGTGTTGGGCAATGACCTACAGCTCCCCGGAGTGAGGGTAGGCTCCCACCCTTGAGAAGAGTAGCCAACCTTTCTTTGAGGGAGGAATAAGGAAGAGAGAAGCCAGGGATGTGATGTGGAGGGAATTCCCTGTATAATCCAGCTTGTTGGAACTGGAGTGGTTGTGAAACAGGGCTGGTAGAATGCCTGGAATGCACAGCCTGCCCTAGTTGGGGCATGTAGGGGTGAGCATAGTCTGCCCTCTCAGCCCAGCTGTACCTCAATTGTAAGGTGGGTGGAAAGTTGGAGATTCAGTCAAAAACACGTGAAGGAAGGACTGATTGCAGGGTTAGCCCACGCCCTGAGCCCATGATCTGCCTTACACCCCAGTCCAGATTCTTGCTATAGAAAGAGCCCAACTAAGTCATGATTCCTGGCTGCTTCTTAAAAATTGAAGCTCACAGGACACGGTGGGACTTCCAGGACTTTTGAAGGAAGCCGGTGGCCGAGGGTGCAGAAGTCTTAAGAAATCTTTACTCTATCCTATTGATTATCATGCACAGGGCAAAATCACCATGAGTAAACATAGCAAAGGTCTTAAGTAACGCCCAGGAAAGGCACCCAGGACGAAGAGAGGTTAATTTTGCTTTCACGTGATTTGTTTCAAGAGATTAGACACACTGCCATTAGTAAGACCAATAATGGAAAGGGAGCCAAACAGAGGTGAAATTTTCTGTTTTTATTGGAGAATTTTTCAAAGAGGTACCTGGACTGCACCTCAGCCATTCCTAAGTGGTCTCCAAATCTGTGACTGTGCTTTTAAGCCCCAAAGACAGAGTCAATAATAACGATTGAAGTTAGTGCGGGAAGACAGTGGGCCTAGCTTTCTGAAAACTGTGAATTGGGCCTGGCAATTCTTAGTTCCCTTGTGCTCCATTGCTGTCAATCTCCTTTACCTACCCTAGCCTCTGGCAACCACTGATCTTCTTTCTATCGTTATAATTTTGATTTTCCTACAATTTTATATAAGTGGAATCATACAGCATATACTGTGTCTGGCTTCTTTCACTTAGCTTAATGCTTTTCAGATACATACATGTTGAAGCAGGTTTCAGTAGTTGATTCTGTTTTATTGTATAGCAGTATTGCATTGTGTGGATAAACCACAATTTGTTTACCAAGGCACCAGTTAATGGACATTTAGGTTTTTTACAGTTTTCAGCTGTTATGAATAAAGCTGCTTTAAACATTCACATATGATTCTTTATATGGATATATGTTTAATGTCTCTTGGATACATACCTAGGGTGGTAAAAAGATGTGGCAGTTTGCTTCAGTAAGGATTTACAGCCTTGGAAACCCTACGGGGCAATTCTATTTTGTCCTATAGGGTTGCTATGAGTTGGAATCCACTCGACAGCAATGGGTTTGTTTTTTGGGTTTTTTATAGAAGGTGAATGTTTAGCTCTGTATGCAATTTGACCCTTTCTTGACAAGCTAGTACAAGCTTGGAAAGCACATAACTTTCTAGTGTCCTTGCTGCTGGCTTAAGACTCTCTACCCTTGCTCCCTGGTGCCTGACCTACATAAGCCTTCTGTACACCAAAACTCTCTCTGAGCCTGATCTAGGCACCCTAAGAGTCATCCCCCCTCAAAACTGGCATATCTAGTACAGAATAGGCCCCTGTTCATTTTTCAAGACATTTTCCTCACCTTTGCTAGCCCAAGCTACTGACCAGGCAGCTGGCAGAGGCAATGTGCAGTACTGGGCAAGAGTGAGACTTCGAGGTTGGACAGATCTGGGTTTCTACTCTAGTCCTCCACTTAGTAGCTGTGTCTTGTTGGGCAATTGGAACCCTCACTGTGCCTCAGTTTTCTTATCTATAAAATTGTAGCAGAAACAAATACAGTAAAACCTGTGAAAACTGGAATTTGCATAAGGCAGAAACCTGTCAGAGAAGAAAAACGCAAAGATTTTCTACTAATAGGAGTGATAAAAAAGTGTTAAGCTGCACCCTGTCAAAGGTGGGAAACTTGTGAGACCCAGAAAAACAAGGTAGTCCTGTCGAATTCCGGCCATCACAGGTTTCAGTGCAGTACCGACCACATAGCAGTGTTATGAGGAATAAACGTGAATATGTGTGTAAAGTGTTTAGCACTTTAAAGTTTTCCAGGAAATACCTTTGAAAATAGCTGCCTTTTCCTCCTTGGGAAGGGCTGGGAAACGGACAGCCTGATCCAGGCCGTTATCTTCCTACATAATTACTAACAAGGGCTCTCTGACTGCTCCGTTCTTATTCATGAGATGCAAGCTGCTTCAGACATCAGACTTGACTACATTAGGAGGAGAAAGATCCCTTGTTTTGCTTGGCAAAGTGCTTGGGACGGTCTGAGTCTTATTTGTGCTTCTGGAGGAACTCTTGAGGTGCTGCAATGGGCAGTATCATAGATTGTCAGCACCTCCTTCTACCCATGCTTCAGCTTCCATCCATGGAGTAGCCCAGGGGGTGAGATGGTAGGGGAAGATTAGCCTTGTCACATTTCATGCACTCCTTCCAGAGCAGTCCTTTGTCTCCCTACTGGTCTGGGGCTGGGACTATCTCCAGGAACTGCAATTCTAGCAGAGCTAACTTGTTTTGCAGGTTAGATGATCCCAGACAGTCCAAGGTTGCCAAACCCAAACATGTTTTGACTTGCCAGTTGCCTGTATTCATAAGCAGGGCTGCTCCACCACCAGCAAGGCAAAAAATCATGCCCACCTGTGCCCAGTGCCCAGATGGCAAAGCTTGGCAAGCTTCAGAAAGCTACTTTTGCCTCTCTTTTGGCCACCCATGTACGTGTCTAGATTGGGCAGATGACTTACAGGATTACAGGCATGCAGTGCCTGGCACATAATAAACGGTTTACATTGATTGTTGTTGTTACTATTTTTTATCTGAGTCCTTGATGGAAGTAAGGATTTCTCAACAAATTACTCTTTTGTTCTTACTTCTGAAAGAACTCAGACAAGAGAAAGGCAGCTTCCTAAATAATAGCTAAGGCTGGAACAAGCCTAGATTGTGTGTACTATCCCCTCTTTCTCCTCTTCCTCCTCCTCCTTGAGCGTTAGAATAATCACAGGAGACCAAAGTTTGAGGCTCACCCCAGGCTAGTAATCCACGTGCTCAGGAAAAGAGACCATATTGGCATATGTATGGCCTGTAAAGTCATGCTATGTATTAGAAGAATGAGGTGAGCTGGGTACCTGCTGGAGCCTTATCTCCCACTGTCCCCACATCCTGAGCTCCTCCTAGACTAGACTGCTTTCCCTTCCCCAGAGATAGCTTTTGCTTTTATGGTCCCTATAAAATCACTTAAGACTTGTTATTTCACCTTATAAAAAGAGAAGTGTTAGAAATAATTAGGTTTATTTAGATTTATCAAATCAGAAGAGATGTTCAGCCTAACCTCTATTAAATTTGTATGGAAAAATGTAGTTAATATAACTATATCAGAAATCGTACACTACATAGAAAATACTGAGAGATTTCTCAATGCCCCGCTCTCCATGATATGTCTATTTATCAGAGTGCTGGGGGTGTTTTCTCTGAAGATGTTAAACACAGTATAGTGTTATCAGTCATAATTTCAGTTACTGTTTTAAATGTTACCTTGGCCACAACCTTACTTCTTAATTTCTTTTTTCTTTTGTTTTTAATTTTTTTTATTGTACTTTAGGTGAAAGTTTACAGAACAAATAGTTTCTCATTACACAGTCAGTACGCATATTGTTTTATGACATTGGTTAACAAACCCACAACATGTCAACACTCTCCCTTTTTGACCTTGCAGGACCTTTTTTCTTTTTGGTGAAAATATACATAGCCAAAGATACACCTTTTGAAAAATTGCTACGCGTACAATTCAGTGACATTGATTATGTTCTTCCAGTTGTGCTGCTATTCTCACTATCCTTTTCCAAATTATTCCATCACCATTATCTTCAACTCACTGCTCCCTAGGCTTCCCATCAAACCTTTTGAGTTGCTGTTGTCAATTTGATCTCACATAGATAATTCTTTTTTTTTGTACTTTACATGAAGGTTTACAGAACAGAATAGTTTATCATTTAACAGTTAGTACACATGTTGCCCTATGACAATGGTTAACAACCTCACAACACATCAGCACTATCCTTACTCAACCTTGGGTTCCCTATCACCAGCTTTCCTATCCCCTTCTGACTTCTGGCCTTTGTCCCTGGACTGCTGTACC